TCTCTCTCTCTCTCTCTCTCTGTTTATAATAGCAAGTAATCAACAGATTTAGCGTATAATGCAATAAGAATTTCACTTATTTTACACAACAATTCCTATCGATTTTAGATTTGAGTTTCAAATCATTAGCCGATAAAAAGCGTGAATTTTATTTATTTTTCGTAAAACATTTTCTTTTATATAAGAATCGTTTTATAAGTTGAACAAAAAATAACAAAATTTCTTATCTATTGTAAGCCTACACACCACGACTCCCCCGAGTATTTACGGTTTAGTTTTACAATATTTTATGAAAAGTTTATATTTTGTTTTTAAAAATATTTTTTTGGACAAAAAAGGTTTGATTTCAAAAGGTTAAGAATTATATTCAAGAATATTCTGTGTTTTTAAATTCTGAATATTCATTGATTTTTTATATATAACTGTAAAATATAATACATTTTTTTAATATTTATATTTGAGTTTATTTTTTAAACTACCTTATTAATATTTACATTAATAATTTATTTTGTGTATTGTATCTAGGTCATTAAACTATTGGCAACGATAGTATTTTTATTTGCCCTATGTTGGCTGCCCATACACATATTTACATTGCTCGTTTGGTTTTACCCGGACATCACCAAGGTGCAAACAAAAATACAGTACCGCACGTACATCTGGTCGTACATAATGTGTCACTTTTTGTCCATGGGTAATTAATTAATCAAATATATTACATTTCAATTAAAACAACTAAATAACTTACTTTTGCACCTAGCTCACAGTTTTGTCAACCCCATTGTCTACTGTTTTATGAGCAAAAATTTTCGGGTAAATATATTTTTTAGAAACTTACCCTTTTCATAATTAATTACTACTATTTTAAGGCCATTTTATGTTCAATATTGCGACGTAACTGTCCAAAAATAACGTGCCAATTTCAATGCAAAACCTACATGCTACGTAATCCACGTACACATTCGCCTACGTAAATAAGGGGCACCTCCTATACTCGTCTACCCATACCGACCCGCCCCCTACACAACGGACAAACATATCAAATACTCAACTGGATACATTAATTTAATGTAGTTAAATAATAATTTACCGAAATGTTGATAAAATAAAACTGTTTTGTTAAATATAGTATGTAGTCAAGTGGTTTTGTTAATGACTATAAAATAATTTATTTAAAATGTTTAAATAAATACAGATGTATTAATATAATGTTTATAGATTGTATAATTAAATATATTCATATAGTAGACTTTTGTAGAGATTTTATATTTCTACGTACTTTTGACCTGCCCATAATATAATATAAAATATAATAGTATAATATATATAAATATTATATAGTATATAAACAATGATTATAATTTGTATTTTAAATAACAAATTTTTAAATATTAATTATATACAGTATCAATAATATATTGAATAATCAATAACTTGAATGTTAATTTTAAAATTAATGTTACACTCGTATAATGAGTATAAATAATGTGTTATTCTTGCCTGTATAATTATTTATCTAATAATCTAAGATTATAAATTTTATTTATTGTAAAACGATATTTTAAAAATAAAAATGCATATTTGTTGTATAGATGCTAAATCATGTTAATATGTTTTAAAAATTAAATAATTAGATCTACATAATTTTTCATGCTAAACGTACAGTAGTTAATTATTTTAATGTGTTACTAGGGCATAAATTAAAAATATGTCTTAGCTACAATTTATTTTTAAGGAATTGCTTAATATTTTAAAATGTAGTAGTTTATTTTTTTATAAAAAAATGCAGTATAAAATAATTATGAATCATAAAAATATTTAATTCAACTTAATTTTGTAACAGTTAATTATGTTTAACCAATAATTAAATATGTGTTAATAAAACAATAATTAATAATAAATATGATGTATAATAATTACTTGAAAATAAGTTGTTAGGTGTAAATAATTAATTTTCAATAAAGTGTCACTGAACAGATTTAAATCGTATACAGACACAAGATATAATTTTTGAAAATAACACTTTCGTAATAATTATTATAAAATCTAAAATTATTTTTAGTATTTTTAATAAGAAAACAATATTATTACTTATAACACGTCAAATAAAATATTTTTAAAAATTTGTTCCTGGTAATTATTTGTTTTGAAAGTTACAAACAACAACATGGTATATAAGTTCAGATTTTACTTTGTAGGTATATTATATATTATCCCAAAACTTATTCAACAAAGTTTATTATATTAACTTTTAAAATAATAAATATGAAGAGTGTACTAATAGTTACAGTTTGTATAGCTTATTTAGCTACATTGCTACAGGGTGCTGATTTTAATGGCAAAAAATGGGTTGTTCTTGCTGCTGCCAGTAAGGGATGGTCAAACTACGGTGACCAGGTATATTTAATTTTAAAAATTTATAATTTATCATACAAATTATAAAAAATTAACCTTTATACAGGCTGACGTGTACCATGGCTATCACGTGGTCAAGTCGTTAGGCATTCCCGACGAGAATATCATACTTTTCTACTACAACGACATCGCGTACAACACCAATAACCCGACCCCTGGTGTTGTCATAAACACACCCCACGGTCCCAATGTTTACGAGGGCATACCCTTAAACCGCAGTTACACTGGTCATGACATAACACCTAGTGTAATATAGAAAGCACCATGTTAAATTTTAAAAATTTTTTTAAATTGAACATTGTTAATCTATTTTTGTTGTAGAATTTCTTAGCCGTAATTAGTGGCGATAGCGAATCGGTGCAAGCAACAAACTCTCAAGCTGGG